TTTTACACTAGTGTACAAAATAATAAAACATGATAATCAAAATAAGGTAAGAAATTCATTTCTGATCGTGGGCCACCCTTTGTTAGAAATAGAGCGCCATTTGTTTCTGCGCCACCTGGAGTTCTTCCGACATACTACTATTGTACCGTGTGCCTTTTGTCTGTAACAAAGCCTCGTGCTCATTAAATATGTGTTACTGAGAGGAAGTCGAGTTTTGCTCATTTGAACCCCCATATTCCTACACCCTTTTGGTGTTTTCATGATTAACGTTTCTAAAACCGAATCGCAGTGTTCTAGAATCGTCGTCTCGCGTTTCTGTAGTAGGGAATTCGTTCTCAGGAAGAAGGAAAGAGTCGGTAGACCCAGATACTCGCGAGGTAGCCCAGATTCGAAAAGTTGACGCCGGGGTTAATGTTCGTGGAGGGGGGTGGGGGCGTGAAACACGGGGTAACGGTCGCGGGTCGAATCTGATCGGGGAGATTTACGTATTTCGAGTAGGTATTCAGATTTATACGCCGGAACTCGCCGTTATTGCGGCCGTATATTCTGCCCCCGTGTATCCAGGGGGCGCGACGCTCGGCGTCCAGAGGTGCGCGTTTCTTTCATGAAAACGACAATCCTAAAAGTACACCGTATCCGCGCGGAAAAAGATATCGCTTGCTCGTAAAACCGGCGATATTACGCGAGAGAGTTTCGGTTGCTCGGGAACAGGGGGCAGAAAGGGGGTTGAAAGGGGAGGAGAGATCGGGAGGAGGACGAGAATCCGCATAAAATCAACCTACGTCGATATATATCGACTTCGATGGATTTACAGCGCGGTAATAATAAAAAGCGCCGAATACGAGCGTCGCGTGGACGCTTTATTAAAACGTCGCCGATCGTTGGAGCTTCTCGGATCGATTGGTCTCGCGACCGAACTGTGACACCTCGGGGCCAGAGGTATGCGAAATTTGATCGCTCTTATCTTCCGTCGACAGGACTCGACGTTGGGAATTTTTATTGGAATAGGAGGATCGTCGCGTTTCCTTTCAATTTTGACGAATCGTACGTTCTCAGAGCGGCGAAAAATAATTGACATAAACATTTGTGACTTGCAAACTTGTTATGGTTTGAGTAAGACCATTATTAATAATATTTTAAGACTACATAGTGTAACTTTTAAAAAATGAAAAAGGCATGTAACATCATCGAGATCCCATTCGGATCGGTCTCATAGGTGGCGACACTGCATTCCTCGACAAAATTGAATTGTAAAAATTTCAAGAGTGTTTAAATACGATTTAAAATTTCTTTACGATTCAGTCGTACGTAATTCAATATAAATAATAAGTATTTTCCAAGGATTTTCAATTTCTCCGTTGGATTCAGCCTCGATGGTTTCGCGACGTTTCGAAAGGGATTTGTTGCATGGTTCGGGGCGCAGGGGAGCGCGTAAAGCCGACTGGACGTTTCCTCGGCTGGTCGGGGAAACGCGAAATCCATCGTTGTGTTTCTTCGCGGGCGGCCGGTCAATCGTGGCAGATAAAAATACGCGTTACGCTGCCGTAACGACGTAACACGAGCGCACCTCTGGCATCGAGAGGATCGTTATCGATTACGAGCGCGTTGCGTAACGTTTGTTCATCGAGGCTCGAACTCGCGGGACAGTTCGCGTCCAATGGAAAGATATTTCCGTTCGAGTGGAGCGCCCGGACAGGTTTACTGCGATTCTTTTAGCGTGCGATCGCGGAGGTTTACCGTGGGTATATACCACGGAAGATTTATTTCTTCGCGCTGTCGTCGCCAAACTCGAGGACCGGTCTTCGTTCTACTACCGCGATAAACTTTGTAAATAAATTCCATGGGACCGTAAGTCAAACATGGATCGAATAAAATAAAGCGTGTCGGTGGTTTTTAGGTCGTTCCAACGTGCGAAAAAACGTTTCGTAAAAATGTTCGTCCGTGACGATGTCGCGGCGCGTTTCCTCGTCGGCTCGAGTTTTATCGCGGGTCGAGAGACCATGCATCGCGCTCGCGATAAGATGGAAATAAAGAGACGAGACGAAACACGAGCGAAAGTGGCGGGCAAACGGAAGAAGAAAGGCCGCCGGAGTCACAAAGGGCCCGCTGTTATTTCTGGACGAAGATTCGGTTTCCGGCCGCGCGGCACCAATTTGTATAATTACTGTTTTCTCTGCAAGCAGATTTTCTCTGTTCCCCGGGCGCCCAGAAAAAACTTCGCGGGCTCTTAGGAAAACGACCGCGGGCGTCGGTGCGTCATCGTTCGCCCCTTCCGGTCCTTCTCCCGATCCGTTTCATTATCATAATTGCCCTACGATTCGTCGCGAGTTCAAATTAAATTTATTTTACGTTGGGTGTTGGGTTTGCGAGAAACGAAATAGTACACATGTACGAAACGAGGTAGTGACACTTTATTAATTGAAACACTTTGAGATTACACGGAAAGTACCTTTAAAACGATTTGATAGTATCGCATTAGTTGAGAAACGTGGATGAGAGTTCGTTACGGTCAACTTATTGCTAACGCGGTTGGAACAAGACTGGGAAGATGGCCGAGAACTTGGCCACCACGAGGCATCGATGCATATGATCGATGCGCGCGCGTGTCAATCATGAGCAGACGACCAATTTTGGTGTTTAGCGCATCTTTCTTTGAGCCGATTAGCGCGACGGTCATCTTCCCCATGAGTGCACGAATCGTGCGTGCGTGGTGCTGCCATTGAACGCCGTGGTGAGCCAAATCTTAATTATTTCTCAAGTATACATTACTTCTAAATTTAGAAATAAGTTATAAATACGTTTTTAAGTAATAAATTAACACGGTATAACGGGAAGTTTGAACTGTTTCATCGTTTCGGAATCAGACGGCGAATCGTTCACGAAATAACCATGCAGACGGCACTCGAGAGCGATAGGATCAGCCGGCTCGCGAGTCAAATAACAAACAACGAAAGAGAGCCTTCTGCCGTTTAGGGATGCGTGAGAACTCGTAATCAGCATCTATTCGCTTAAGATAACCAGTCGATTCACGAACCCGATACCGCGGTGCCACGTAACGAACATACGTAAGCGGGGGTCTCGGTACTCATGGATTGGAGGCACGACCGTGAATACACCGAATTAAGTCTCGCACCGCAAACCCGATTCCCTTTAGCGAACAAGACCTCCTCCAGTCCGCCTAACGATCAGACTTCCAACTCCGTGGGGACAAAAGAATACCAACAAAAATGCGTCGCGTCTCAACGTTGAGAATCCCCTTTTAAAAAGCGAGTTTTATCCACCCCCCTCTCTCAAAATTTTGACCTTGATTCAAAGTTAATTAGCTGTAAAAATTGAAGCATTATTCTTGGGTCTTCTTTAAATTCTGATAGAGTTTGACTTCCAGGTCGCTCGACCCACATTTCTCTTTTGTCTCTGGTCAGAACGATCGCTATCACGTTAACTATAAATCCAAGGAAGACCCGTTCCAATCTCTCACCCTACTTTTCCGACGCAGCGATGATAAAGGAATCGTGAACGTTCATCGAAATAGGTCGTGAAAGGGACGCAGGGCCGGGAGTCGCAGGGAGCGCAATTTGGCAGCTACTTCTTCCTGTTCTGCGGGCGTCTCTTTGCGGCGGACGTCTCGCTCTCGCGGTAATTGCAGAACGGGACGTTACACGGCTCCACCCCTCCATCCGGTTTTTCATTTAGCCCCTTTTAGCGTCGACCTTAAAATAAACTTTGTAGCCCTGCGACTTCGTCGTCGTCGTCGTCGTCGTCGTCGTCGTTGTCGTCGTTTCCCGCGGCTCTCTGTAGCTTTCTCCGCGATCCTCCCTCCTCCCTTTGGCTCTGGGCGCCTCGTCAGTCGGTCGAAGAACTGCGTCGAGGAAATGAAAGAGGGAGAGAGGGGGGTGGTGCGCCGCTTCGAGAGACACCCCAAAGAGTTACAGCTTTCAATTTAGTAGTGCAAACACTCGCCGCGAGTTAATATCTGCCTTCCATTTCCTGGCCTAACCTCGTCACCGTGGGGCCCCGCGAACAAACTACGCGAAAGTTGTCGCCGCTCGTTTGCCCGGTTACGACGACCAGACGACGGAGGAATCCTCTTCGCCGGCGGAACGATTAAATCGGTATAAATCGCGACCGTAATCCCGGGTAACCTGGTCGCAACGACGGTGGAAACTCGGTGGACGGGAGAGGACGATCACGCGCCTTATTACTATCTCGTTGACGCAAATTGGATACCGACTGCGAAGTCCAGGTGATCAGCGCGATGACGCGTTGCAAACCTTTGATTTCTCTTGCTCGACTTTGAGAGGATTTGTGAGTCACAGGAACGCTACTGTGTGTTTTTGTTACGAGCGATTAGATAGGATTGGTCATTTGGTAAATAGTCGATGGATAGTTGCAAAATGAAAGATTTCTTTTCTTATCCGTGACCGTGTCGCTTGGGTTGCTTCGACAGTTCATACGTATTTGTCATGGTGTGAAGAAGTTTGGAGACTACTGGTCCGAATAGTGAAAGGGTGAAAACCTAAAATAGGGCATTCGTTATTGGCACATTGCGGTACTCTTAGAGCCAAATCAGTTGGCTGTCCCATCAAGGTCATCGTTGGGGTAAATTCGACTTATAACGATATCTAAATAGAGGGGTAGTTGGTGACGTCAGCCGTGCAAGTGGCCTCGAGGGGCCACTCGATTCGACGACCCGAGTGTTACGGACATCAGTCACCCGGGCCAAGTGTCCCCCGTCCGAAACCGCTCTTGGACACCTTTCCTTCGAGTTCCAACTCGAGAAAACAGAGAGCCGGGTACCCCTTGATTCATGCCTCGCTCGAGCATTTATGCTAATGGATCGGTCAGTCGACGAGCGTATATATAGAAACAGTCGAGTATTTAGTAAAGAGCGCCAAGTGTCGCCGTATTTCTAGGGTGCTTGTAATCAAAACGAAAAGAGCGCAACCCCAGGTTCGAAGGTCCGAGTAAATGCTAAACCCGTGATTAAAATGTGTGTTTAGGTCGCAGATCCGCCGTGAGGATGTGAGCAACGATGCCCGTAGCAGCGCGTGAGATCGTGATCGCCCCGAGATGGCCGCGACGCCCGTTGTTCCGCGCCCTTCAACGTGATCCCTCGAGGCAAGGAGGCAACGCGAGGGATCGTCCGCGCCGCCGAGCGATGCACTGAGTCCACGCCAGCGGCGTCGCACCACCACCGAGGAGGACACACGCAGCCAGTCGACCGCCAGCGATACCGAGCTCAGGATGGAGGAGGTGCGGGGATCACCGGCGCGCCGGCTCTCGCAGATCCTCGACCCGATCGCGCGGCTCGCCACCGATTTCGGCTCGAACTCGGCGCCGTGCAGCCCGAGGCTCGGCGTTCGTAGCCACGAGGCGTCGGGGATGGTCCAAGGAACGACGGACGGCGCACGGAGACAGCAACAGTCCGGCCCGGAGTCGAGTAGGGGGGGCCAGTCGAGCGGGGCGGAGAGTCCCCGACTCTGGCCGCGTCAGATTCGCCAGGCACCGGCACCGCCGCCGCGACCCAGACACGCGAACAACAACAACGCGACGGGACAGCATCAGCCGATCCCCGGCAGCCTGCCGCCGCCGGTGCACAACAGGGACTCGCCGTACGTGAACGTGCCGAATCTGCTGTTCCAAAAGGAGACCAAAGGGTTCGCGGAGACCGCCAGGAGCGCCGGGTATGTCGAGCTCAGGGAGACCAAGCCCAAGTGCAGCCCGTACGATTTCACGTCCGAGCCGAGCGGCCACGTGGAGTACGCGGACAAGCAACGAACGTTCGCCGCCCAGACCGATCTGGACGCGACGCCGGGCTGCTACGACGCCAAGGATCTCGCCGTGTTGGCCAGGACCAGGTCGAACTTCGACCCGGGTCCCTCGCCGCGCACCGGCCATCAGCACTCCGACCGGGCGTACTCGTTCTCCGGTCGGCAGCCCGAACCAACCGCGGCCAGGATGTTCGCCGAGGGACGACTGTTCGTCGAGCAGAGGACCGCCGCGGCCAGCTCGGACGCCAAGAAGGAGAAGCTCGAGAGCAGACCCGCTTACAGCGCGTCCAAGAGCTTCGATGGATACTCGACCGCCGTGGAGGAGCTTAATTGGCAAGAGAGGTGTCTCGAGCTGCAACTCGAGCTGCACAGAAGCAGAAGCCAGGCCACCAGGGTGCGGGACATGCTTCGCGAGAAGGTGAGTACCGCTTTCTTTACGCAACCGACGTCCATTTTGTCGTTCTCGGTTTGCCTTGGTCTACGCAGAGTCTCGCGAGTTTAACGAGCTGCAAAAGTGGTGATTTACGTCGAGTGTTGCAATTCTATTTAATCTACGCAATGTGCTAGCTGAAAGAAATTTTTATTATCGGAAAGAAATCCCCTCCACTTCTTAAATTCTTGGTCATTATTGGGTAAGGCGATCACGAGCCAAGAATCCAAATAGTGGGAGGGATCCCCCTTGCCCGTTGCGTCGTTTAGCTTGTGGGTAGCGTGCCAACATCTCGTCTCCCAATAGTAGAAATCAAATTTACAGTTGCAATTTTATTTCAATAGTTATTTCTATTTACTAAACTGTTAACAATCGCGTTAGACTATCAGAGCCACCCGAACTCCGTGCGTCGAGCGAAGTTTGAAAACTGTTATTCTACTTAGTCGCGCGCGGTCGAGATAGGATGAAATTTACGCGGACGGAATGGACGCGTCGGCGTTTAGGGTATCCGGGAAATTGCATTGGCGTTGCAGGGCGCAGTGAAAAAGGTAGCCGACGAGATGGCTCGTCTCGGGCGTCTCGACCCATATTTTCCGGCGAGTCCGCGGGGACCAATCGCGTCAAACGATCCGTGACTAAACCAATAAGCGATCCCGTTCCGTGCCGCCGGCGAAACGGCCGCTGCCCGATAACCCATTCTGTTTTCCGCGTTACCCCGTGTTCGACGATCGAACGGAGGGCTTCCGTGAAACGAGTCGCTTGTCTGGAATCGACGACTCCACCTATAGAAAATTCATTCGCGATTCCAGAATTCCTGGATCGGACGAGGAACAGCCACCCAGGCACCGCCCTGTCGATACCCGATCAAATTTTGCGGGTCTCTACGTTCGAAAATAAGGGACGCGTATCTTCTACCGTAGATAATTCAATTTTAACCCTTCGTATCGATAACTGACCATCCGTGTTTCGCTGAAAATGTTTCGACGCTCTTTGACGTAAAAATAAAAATTTATGGAAAAACGGGATGCGCGATCCCCGAACCCCGAAACCCGGGGACTTTATGGCTCCTCGCCTCGAGTTATACGGAATCGAAAGCGAGTTCCCCGGTCCGCGTTACGATCTCGAAACGATTTATATCTTTCGCGGACGGTTTTATCCGACGCTCGACATACGTCAAATGAATTGCAGGAGGGTCAAACGTGCCGAGGAAGGGGACAAGCGCCGCTTAGGTACATACGTCTTTAGTATGCACAGTCACGCGTCACGATTTAACGCGACCACCCTAGATAAGGCACATAGCCGCCGGTATGGAGTGCGGGGAACGGTCTCCTCGCTTCTTCAAAACCCACTCGTGCCTCTTAAACGGAATTGAATCACTTACCGGGAGGAGGAGACTTCACCGGGCACCGTTTAACTCGTTATTTTTCTCGATGTCGTTTTCTGTCGTCTCGCGAATTCTGCGTGCAGGGGACCGCGAACAAGCCTCGGACTCCGCAACCCTCGGATTCTCGAGCACCGTGTGCACCCTAACTGTCTCACGACTCGACGTTTTATAAATATTCAAACACTAGCTTTGCGTAGGTTCCTCCTTACATAAATATCAATTTTCTTAATGCACGTGGCTCGTCGTAAATATTTAGAGGTTATCTTTATACAGAGGGTATTTGGCCATGCCTGAGAAAAAATTTTAATAGGAGATTCTTGGGGCCAAAATAAGACGAAAATCAAGACTACCAATTTGTTGATCGAGGCTTCGTTAAAAAGTTATTAACGTTTAAAGTTCCGCGATAGTGGTTCTCACTCAGCACGAGAGACTACTGACTGACGTATCGACAGCCTTACAGTTTTCTGCGTGAGAGCCACTATCGCGCGTGCGCAGCTGTTAGCAGGTTGCCGTTCTACAGGCGAAACTTTAAACGTTAATAACTTTTTAACGAAGCCTCGATAAACAAATTGGTATTCTTGGTTTTCGGTTTACTTTGGCCCCTAGAATCTCCCATTAAAATTTTTGCCAGGGAATCATATATTTATAGAAATTGAAACTTCCGAATTCGACCGATTTGTGAACAGTATATAAAATATTATGTTTGAAAAGAGTTTATTTATCCACACTCTGGTACCAATACTGTACGAATATTTTTCGATACGTTTCTTTTACGGGTTCTACCGTGTTCCGTATCGCGACATAGCACCGCTAGGTTCTTCCGAGAATCGCCGGGAACTCTGGCCTCGCCTCCTCTTCCTCATTACGCCGGTGTTCTGGTCTAACGAATCGCGCGAACTTGGACGCTGGTCGTGGCACGGCATGGCAGTCGTAGAATCAGCTGACGCGACGGTGAGAGGCGGCCGTGGGCTCCTTATCGGTTTCGTATCGCGCCTCCGTGCCGAACCCCGTTACGCGTTCGCTTGCATCACTCTCGGATCGTTGTCCTGATTGACGTAACGTTTGTTTACAACGCGGCTGGCTCGCGGCGAGATTCCTGCCCGGCGATTACCAGCGCACGCGAAACCACCATCGCCAGCCGCTTCTCTACGCTCGCCGTTTCCTCCCCGTCGATCGCCGGACCTCGATAAAACGGTCTCGCGAATCGAACGGAGAAGTAACTCGAATTTCATTCGACTTATTTAGCGTTAATGTTAGAGGTATAGAAAAGTTCTCATCGTTAATCTTTTATTCACTCGTCCGCTATGTCAGTGTTGAAAGGATAAATGTAATTTTAATCTGGAAGATAACTACCTTATCTTCTTTAAAGCGACACCTACAATGTAATATAGATACTGTTGTTTTGTTTCGTGATATAGGCCTTGTAATAACGTCGAAGTGATAAGTACACATATGAGACGAAGAGTGTTCAGCCTAACCTAAAAATCTATTATAACCACGTTTAACCTCTTCACCCCCTTGGTCACATTTTGTTTTTTTTTTATAATTATAGTTACTGTCAATAATAAATAGACCAGAAAAAAAAAATTCGTCCCTGAAGAGGTTAATAACAGTCGGTAAACGTTTCACACAATCCTTCGAACGTTGAATGATTCACGATTGTCTCGCTGCATTCCGTCGTCCTTCCCCGCATCAAAAACAACACAGGCCCCTGTCTGGGTCACCCAAGGAGGAACGACGATGCACAGTGGAACAAAGTCAGGCGGCCAACGGTCGTTGTGTTTTTTCGACGCGTTCGAATGTGTTGCCACATGCACGTGCTCCGTTCGACGAAACCAGACACCAACGTTATCGACGGAGATACTGTTTTTTGTCGTCTTGCAGGTGCAAGCAAACGAAATAGAAACGTTCGACGTCTATTTATGTCAGAGTTACGCAGTACAAAAATCATATTCACTTGAATGTATCGAACAAACGTTTAACAACGGATATATGATTAATATAAAAAGCAATCTCGTACAAGTCTATAATATGATACAAAGTCTATACTCTGGAAGGGAGATAAAAGAACGCGGGCCTAATGCCTGATCTCCATGAACGCGTAACGCCTTTTGCCTCCGCCATTGCTCATGAACTGAACAATCCTTCAGTTTATACTGCAGTAGTGTCATTTTTTTTTAAATTCTCTACGGATTTCTAGAGATTGTTGAGAGGTAACGACTGGTGGTCGACCGGGGGGGAAAAAGATCGTACGATTTCGCGATCGATGCGAGTCTCGCGTACGCGGGGGGCAGTTTCCTGGAAATTGCTCACGTGCTCCGAGAGTTGACCTTTCGTCGCGTGACAAGGGCCTACATTCCGCGTTCACGGTCGCGCCACGGAAATAGTTCAACGGCAGTAGGCGGGTGTGGAAGATAGCGAGCCGGAGCTACCGACTATCCCGCGTATCGCGGTCTTTAATGCCTCTTCAAAGGGCATTAACGAGTAACGGCCTCGTAAAAAAATTAACAGCACTCGCGGCGCGCTTCCGGCGCGATACGATTTTCCTGAAAGTTGAAAGCTCTTCGCCGTTTCGTAAAAATGGAACAGAACGGGGGAACGGGGAAATGCCTTCAAAGCGTACGGTAGCATGAATATTGGACTTTTTGTAGCAAAAAAAAAAAAAAAAAAGAAATTAATGGAATATTGTTTGGTCCGTCGGATATCGATTGTTTAAGAGGCGCTCCTCCGAAACGTGTTTAATTAAATTTTCCGGATAGCTTAATCGAATGGCGCGGAATAATCGTAACTCGCGTGGACTTCGTAATTATTTTAATTTTATTTCGACCTTACGCGCCAAATAAAAATATCGAGACCTAACTTATTATCTGGTTTAACTATAGCACTAACGGTAGAATTCGTTGTTAGTTTTATTTAACCGAATTAATTTTTCCCTCGTTTTTCAACGTCGAACGTTGTCGCGCATTAATGCAGACAAACTGCGGTCGAAAAGGGTGAGAACAGGTCTGCGCACACGTCCGTACGTGTGTGTATTCGTGCGGGGGTGGTGGTCGAGGGTTGGAGAGCCCAACGAATGAAACGCTGACGAGAATTCGGCGAGGCGCGCTGAGTCGGAAATTATACGGCCGCCTCCGCGAGGCCCGCCATATTTCGACGTTTTTGCCAGGCCATCCCTCGCGTTCCACCCTCCTTCCGGTCTCGGTTTTATACCCAACCCCGAAAACATCCAGTTAAACGTAGAATCGGTAAATACCGTAGCAGCCCGTACACACGCGAACGTGTTTTTCGTCGCCTCTTCGTTCCTATCGATTTTCACTTTTCTTTTTTTTTCCCCACTCCGATTCGAGACTGACCCGTGAAATTGCAGATCGACGATCGATATCGATGCAGGGTAAAAATAGAAAATTAGAAATAAATGTACGAAATCAAGGAGAAAATTGTAAGCAAAGAATATAAATAGGATATATCGAACATTGTGTTTAATCTTGTCGCAATATAAATTTACCGTTAACTAATACAGTAATGCATACAGCATTAAGATAAATGAATTCTTGAAATAGGCAATTAAAGGTACGTTCTGTAGGACTGGTTGTAACGCGTGTAG